AGGGAAAAACGTTGAAAAAAACCTGGGAAAAGAAAATGTCGAACGGAGAATGTCTAAAAGAGAACGTCGAAAATGAAAATACTGAAGAGAAAAGATTACTGTGATAGTAAGTACAAAATATATCTTGTTATAGTTATTTATTTATTATAGCAAATTTTATTAAAAATATTAAAAAAAAGAAAATGAATAATAACACGTAGTAAATATCATCTCATTTTTTCATGATCGATATAAATTGATATAAATTGATCTATCATATTTGTATGTAAATAGACATCACATCCACGTTCATTGCAAACCAAATACTTTTTTAATTCTGTTGTTTTATTGCATTTGGATGCATACTGGTTATAAATCAATAATGGTTTGCCTTATTCGATCTTATAGACGGCACTACTGGCTCCATCGCTTCACTTTGGCTCATAGCGACGTTTCTTTTTCTACATGTGAAATACAGACAACAAGGATTTTTTTCTCTCTTTTTATGTGATATAAGAGACGGATGGATCTTTTTATTGAAAGGCCGATGACCTTCACTCTTTGTAAGTCAACCAAAAAGAAAGGAGCAGAAAAAAAGTAATATTTCTGGTCATAATTTTATGATTTATTCGGTTCAACTCATTTCACAGGTGCAAAACCGTTTCACGCTTGGGAGATTTATGTACATAACTGCCGCGTTGTTTATTTTTCATGTAACGAGAAAAAAAGTCTGACCTTGAAGAGGAAAAGGAAAATGCTCATACGCATTACCCCTTAAAAAGTTAAAAAAATACACACAACAGTGACCAAAATGGGGCTATTTGTAGCTACATGATTTCTCAGTAACAAAACTCCGTGGGGAGCTCGTACTGGTCCTAACTTGTCGAAAATACATGTGGCTAGAGGCTAATAGAGCTGGATTTTTGATATTTACGTTTCAAATTAATGCTTAGCGTCACAAGTCCAAAATTCGAAAAAGTCTCATTAACTTGCATAAAGATATTTTTTTAACCACAGATCTAGACCAAATACCTAAAATCGGGCTCTGTTAGTCTCTAGCCACTTATGTCAGCTTCAATTTAAGATTCCCGAGTTCTCGGTCATGTTTCGTTACCGAGAAGCCTTGCAGTTACGAAATGGTGTTAAGGTGAGAGTCGCTTTCGAGATATGTTGCCGTCAGTATCGGATACAAGTTTTAGGACTTACAGCAAAACTCTCATAACTCTTGATTAGAACACCATTGAGAGCTGGGAGATATCCCATTTTAATCAGAATGTTTGCTCTATTTCTCGGCGTTATTGAAAGTATTTTTAGATTTGTTTTTTATTGGAAAGTAAAGTTTTTCGAAAAGTCAGCTTTTCAAAGTTTTCAGAAAACATTTCTAAAAACTTTCATATCCCTCCAATAAGGACCAAATAACACTGATAGCAGATACTGTGGGCCATCTGAGGATGTGTTTAGCTCAATATCAACTTTTTATAAAAAATTTATGTTTCGAACGAGCAGTCGGATCTCACGAGCGCTATCCTGATTGGGACAGATATCCCGTTCGAATTATACATGTCGGGAAAAAGTATCTGTCGGCAAAGTGTACATGTCGGCCAAGTGATGTGTCGGCAAAGCGATTGTCGGCCAAGT